AGCTTCAAAACCTGACTGCTTCTTGTCTGGGAGGAATCCTTTGCTGGGAGATGTCAGCTGGAATTCTTTGTTGGGAGGATTCCCCCAGGCAGGAAGCAGCCAGGCTTTGAAGCTGCAAGGCCATTCAATACTATGGAATGTATTTTTATTGCACCGTGTGTATGGTTACATTGCAAGTACCCTACAAGCCACCCCAACTCACTTTTGGGAGGTGGTGATGGGGTAAAATAAAGTTTGTTGTTGTTGTTGTTGTTGTTGTTGTTAATCAATCAAGGTGGCCAATTGCAAAGCCTCCCAACAAAGGATTCCCCCAGTCAGGAAGCAACCAGATGTTGAAGCTGCAAGGCTATTCAATGCTAATCAAGGCGGCCAATGGTAACCAAATCATAAATCAGACAGCATATAACTAAGCATAAACCTGCCCTACTATTTTATATTTTATACATATTATAATACTATTTTATATATGTTATAATAGTAACAACAACAACCACCACCCTTGCCTTTCTAGGATAGGCATCCAAGTCAAGAGCAGTATGATGGGAAGAACTCTCCCCTTCTATATAATACACACACAGATATATATATATGTATACATACACACACACACATATTATATATATATAGAGAGAGAGAGAGAGAGAGGGAGGGAGGGAGAGAGAGAGTAAATATTGTTGTTGTTGTTGTTGTTGTGGGATCACAAGCCGGAAAAAGTTACAGAAAATGAACACATCAAGCTACTCTGAGACTTCTGGATTCCGACTGAGAGAGTTTTGTAGCATAACACTCCTGACCTCACAATTGTGTTAAAAAGTATGGATTGTTGATGTTGCAATCCCGGTCGACAGCAGGATTGAAGAGAAACAACTGGAACAGCTGAGACGATATGAGGATTTAAAGATCGCACTGCAAAGACTCTGGCACAAGCCAGTCAAGGTGGTCCCAGTGGTGATCGCCACACTGGGTGCAATGCCTAAATACCTTGGCCTGCACTTAAACACAATCGGCGCTGACAAAATTACCCTCTGCCAGCTGCAGAAGGCCACCTTACTGGGATCTGCACGCATTATTTGCTGATACATCACACAGTCCTAGACACTTGGGAAGTGTCCGACGTGTGATCCAATTCAACAGCCAGCAGAGTGTCTGCTGTGGACTCATCTTGTGTGTTTCAGATAATAATAATAATAATAATAATAATAATAATAATAATAATATAGCAACAACCACCACCACCACCACCACCCTTGCCGTTCTAGGAAAGGCAGCCACTTCAAGAGCTGTATGACTGGAAAGACCTTCCCCTACTATATAATAGAGAAGAGGAAAGAGAAGAGGAGAAACATGTCGGTCAATGTTCCTGATCAATCTGAAGCTGTTGGTCAATGTTCCTGATGAAGCTGTTTTCTGGGTCTGGTCAAATCAGTGGCCTAAAATGCAGAGCGTCATCAGAAGCTTGCATAAAGAAAGCTCACCCAATACAAGAAAAAGAGAGAGGAGATAGGAAGGAAGAGGAGAGGAAAAAGGAGAGGAGGCTGGCTTGCGAGAAACATGCGGGTCAATGTTCCTGATTGATCTGAAGCTGCTTTCTGGGTCCTTGAAAGGCCCACAATGCAAGGAACCCAGCCTTTCTCATAGAAAACCCACCCAATGCAAAGAGAAGAGAGGAGGAGAGAAAGAAGGAGGGAAAGAAGAGAAGGGTGCCTTGGGAGAAACATGCTGGTCAATGTTCCTGATTGATCTGAAACTGCTTTCTGGGTCCTTGAAAGGCCCACAATGCAAGGAACCCAGCCTTTCCCAAAGAAAACCCACCCAATGCAAGAGGAAGAGAGAGAAGAGGAGGGAGAGAAGAAGAGGGAGAAAAGAAGAGGAGGCTGGCTTGCGAGAAATATGCTGGTCAATGTTCCTGATTGATCTGAAACTGCTTTCTGGGTCCTTGAAAGACCCACAATGCAGGGAACCCGGCATTTCCCAAAGAAAACCCACCCAATGCAAGAAGAAGAGAGAGGAGAAGGAAGAGAAGAGGAGGGAGAGAAAAAGAGGGAGGCAAGAAGAGGAATCATAGAATCCTAGAGTTGGAAGAGACCTCATGGGCCATCCAGTCCCACCCCATTCTGCCAAGAAGCAGGAATATTGCATTCAAAGCACTCCTGACAGATGGCCATCCAGCCTCTGTTTAAAGCTTCCAAAGAAGGAGCCTCCACCACACTCCGGGGCAGAGAGTTCCACTGCTGAACGGCTCTCACAGTCAGGAAGTTCTTCCTCATGTTCAGATGGAATCTCCTCTCTTGTAGTTTGAAGCCATTGTTCCACTGCATCCTAGTCTCCAGGGCAGTAAAAAACAAGCTTGCTCCCTCCTCCCTGTGACGTCCTCTCACATATTTATACATGGCTATCATGTCTCCTCTCAGCCTTCTCTTCTGCAGGCTAAACATGCCCAGCTCCTTAAGCCGCTCCTCATAGGGTTTGTTCTCCAGACCCTTGATCATTTTAGTCGCTCCTCTGGACAGATTCCAGCTTGTCAATATCTCTCTTGAATTGTGGTGCCCAGAATTGGACACAATATTCCAGGTGTGGTCTAACCAATGTGAAATAGAGGGGTAGCATGACTTCCCTGGATCTAGACACTATGTTCTTCTTGATGCAGGCCAAAATCCCATTGGCTTTTTTTGCCGCCACATCACATTGTTGGCTCATGTTTAACTTGTTGTCCACGAGGACTCCAAGATCTTTTTCACATGTACTGCTCTCAGGCCAGGTGTCCCCCATTCTGTATCTTCATTTTTTTCTACCTAAGGAGAAGGAAGAGAGGAGAAGGAAGAGAAGAAGAGGGACAAAAGAAGAGGAGGCTGTCTTGGGAGAAAGGTGCCCGTCAATGTTCCTGACTAATCTGAAGCTGCTTTCTGGGTCTGGTCGAAGCAGTGGCCTAAAATGAAGAGCCCCAACAAAACCTTGGATAAAGCAAACCCACCCAATGCAAAGAGAAGAGAGGAGGAGATAGGAAGGAAGAGAAGAGGAAAGAGAAAAGGAGGCTGCCCTAGGAAAAACGTGTCGGTCAATGTTCCTGACTGATCTGAAGCTGCTTTCTGGGTCCTTGAAAGGCCCACAATGCAGGGGACCCAGCCTTTCTCAAAGTAAATCCACCCCATGCAAAAGGAAGAGAGAGAAAAGGGGGAGAGAAGAAGAGAGAGACAAGAAGTGGAGGCTGCCTTGGGAGAAACATACCGGTCAATGTTCCTGATTGAGCTGAAGCTGCTTTCTTGGTCTAGTTGGAGCAATGACCTAAAATGCAGAGCCCCAACAGATCCTTGTCTAAAGCAATCCCACCCAATGCAAGAAGAAGAGAGAGAAGATGGGAAGGAAGAGAAGAAGAAAGACAAGAGGAGGCTCTCCTGGGAGAAACATCCTGGTAAATGTTCCTAATTGATCTGAAGGCTGCTTTCAGGATTCATGAGTGGCCCACAATGCAGGGAACCCACCCAATGCAAGAGGAAGAGAGAGGAGAAGGAAGAGAAGAGGAGGGAGACAAGAAGAGGAGGTTGCCTTGGGAAAAACATACTGGTCAATGTCCCTGATTGATCTGAAGCTGTTTCTGGGTCTGGTTGAAGCAATGGCCTAAAATGCAGAACCCCAACAGACCCTTGCAGAAAGCAAACCCACCCAATGCAAAGAGAAGAGAGGAGGAGATAGGAAGGAAGAGAAGAGGACAGAGAAGAGGAGGTTGCCTTGGGAGGAACATCCTGGTCAATGTCCCTGATTGATCTGAAGGCTGCTTTCTGGGTCCTTGAAAGGGCCACAATGGAGGAAAGCAAGCTTTTCTCAAAGCAAACCCACCCAAAGCAAGTAGAAGAGAGAGAAGAGGAGGGAGAGAAGAAGAGGGAGACAAGAGGAGGCTGCCTTGGGAGAAACATCCTGGTAAATGTCCCTAATTGATCTGAAGCTGCTTTCTGGGTCCTTGAGGAGGAATGGAGGAAACCAAGCTTTTCTCAAAGCAAACCCACCCAAAGCAAGTAGAAGAGAGAGAAGAGGAGGGAGAGAAGAGAGAGACAAGAAGAGGAGGCTGCCTTGGGAGAAACATACTGGTCAATGTTCCTGATTGATCTGAAGCTGCTTTCTGGGTCCTTGAAAGGCCCACAATGGTTGAAACCAAGCTTTTCTCAAAGCAAACCCACCCAATGCAAGAGGAAGAGAGAGGAGAAGAAAGAGAAGAGGAGACTGCCTTGGGAGAAACATGCTGGTCAGTGTTCCTGATTGATCTGAAGCTGCTGTCTGGGTCTGGTCAAAGCAGTGGCCTAAAAGGCCGAGCCCCAAAAGAGACCCTTGCATAGAGCAAACCCACCCAATGCAAAGAGAAGAAAGGAGGAGAGAAGGAAGAAGAGAGAGGAGGGAGACAAGAAGAGGAGGCTGCCTTGGGAGAAACATCCTGGTCAATGTTCTGATTGATCTGAAGCTGCTGTCTGGGTCTAGTTAGTCGAAGCAATAGCCTAAAAGGCCGAGCCCCAAAGAGACCCTTGCCTAGAGCAAACCCACCCAAATGCAAGGAGAAGAGAGAGGAGGAGGAGGGAAGGAAGAGGAGAGGAGAGAGAGAAGAGGAGAAACATGCCGGTAAATGATCCCGATGGAGCGGATGCTGCTTTCCGGGTCCAGGAGAAGCCCTGCCCCATCAGGCTGAGCCCCAAACCCTTCGGAACCGACTCCAAGCAGAAGCCCAAAGAGACCCTAGCCTCATCCAGACCCACCTCCAGCAAGAAGGAGGGAGAGGAGGAGAAGAGGAGGAGGAAGCGGCTTCCCTGGGAGGCCAAGGCCGGCCTCCTGACCCCAATGGCTGCTTTGCAGACCTGTCAGAGGCCGGGGAGGAGAGGAAGGAGCCTGGGCCGGGCCGGGACTGGACCCCCCCATCCCGGAGGAGACCCCCAAAAGCGGGGAGGGGGTTAGGGAGAAGGAAAGGGAGAAGCAGAGAGAGAGATGCCCAAGCCTGCTTGGCTGCGCCACTGCCTTACCCCAGCTGTTCCTCTCCGTGCGAGGCTTCGCCATCCTGGCCTCTTCCTCTTCCTCCTCCTCTTCCTCGGGGCGGGGGTCCTTCAAGGAAGGAGGGAGGGAGGGAGGGAGAAAGGGAGGGAGAAAGGGGGTCTCTTCTTGGCTCAGCTCCGCCGCATCGGGAGGCGCCTTCCTCCTCTCCTTCTTCTCCTTCTCCCTCCTCCTCCTTCTTCTCTGCTGCGCGCCCCCGGGAAGCACCTGCCCAGGGAGGGGCTCGGGAGCGCGCCTCCCAGCTGGCCCCGCCCAGCACAGGAAGGGAGGGGGCCAAGCAAGAGAGGAGGGGGCTCGACAAAGCAAACCCACCCAATGGAAGGGATGTCAACAGGGAGGGAAGGAGGAACAAGGCAAGGCGCAGGTCTAGGAGGATGACAGGCTCTGGCTTTGGGAGCAGCCCACAGGGAAGGGGTCTCTCCGGCCTCCAAAAGGACCCCAAGGTGAACCCCACTCATCCTATTGCCTTTGGCAGTGATGCAGACACTGCCAAAGGCAATAGGATGGAATAGAAGAGTTTTATTGTCATTGTACATTGAGCAACGCAATTACTTTCCCCGGTACATGCCACTCAAACAACACACCCATCCATGGGCATTCTAATCACTATTGCACAGAAAGGGGTCTTGCAGACCTCCAAGTGCACCCCAAGATGAACACCAGTCAGTAGCATGATGTGGCGCTCCCAAAGCCAATAGGATAGAATATCTTTATTGTCATTGTACATTGCAGAGCGCAGGGTGGCACAGTGGGTTAAACCCCTGTGCCGGTAGGACTGAAGACTGACAGGTCGCAGGTTCGAATCCAGAGAGAGGTGGATGAGCTCCCTCTATCAGCTCCAGCTCCTCATACAGGGACATGAGAGAAGCCTCCCACAAGGATGATAAAAACATTAAATCATCTGGGCATCCCTGGGCAGAATCCTTGCAGATGGCCAATTCTCTCACACCAGAAGCAACTTGCAGTTTCTTAAGTCACTCCTAACACGACAAAAAAAAATGCACATTGCACTTAAATTCCTTCCCAGCACACACCACCAAAACAACACACCCATCCTTGGACATTCTGATCACTATTGCACAGGAAGGGGTCTCACAGGCCCCTGAATGCACCCCAAGATGAACACCAGTCAATAGTGTGATGTGGCCACTCCCCAAAGCCAATAAGATAGAACAGGATAGAAGAATAACTTTATTGTAATTGTACATTGCACTTAAATGCCTTTCCCAGCACACCTCACCAAAACAACACACCCATCCCTTCACATTGCACAGGAAGGGATCTCGCAGGCCTCCGAAAGGACCCCAAGATGAACACCAGTCAATAGTGTGATGCAGCCACTCCCCAAAGTCAATAGGATAGACCAGGATAGAAGAACTTTATTGTCACGATTGCACAGGAATGCCACGTTGTCCAAATGTCCCAAGATCACAATTTCCCAAAGCAACTACTGTACTCTCAACTCAAGAATGGCAAACGTGTGTGAACAATGATCCACTAATCTCTACAAATTAATCTGTAATTAAATGCCAGGGTCCCTTTTGTGATTGTTGAGTAGTGCCACCTGATAATCTGTATTAATCCAATCCCAGGGTCTTGCTGTGAGTCTATAGAAAGGGCCCAGGGAAGGAGCGTTTGGTAGCTAATCCTTTGAATTAATCCAGACTTGAATTTCTGAATCAACCCAGAGAGTATTTAATCTGGATTCTGGAGAGGGAAGTCCTTTGTTGTATGAATTTGCAGGTCCCAAGAGGATGTACACAATTGAAAGCCCTGGTCATGACCTTTAAAGCCCTTATACGGATCTGAAAGACTAACTGATGCAACTATGGGTGCATCTGCACTGTTGAATTAATGTAGTTGGGTTTGGGCCCAAGCTACCTATCTGACCGCATCTCTGCCTATGAACCCACCAGGACTTTGAGATCTTCCGGGGAGACCCTGCTCTCGATCCCGCCTGCTTCTCAAGCTCGGCTGGCGGGGACGAGAGATAGGGCCTTCTCGGTGGTGGCTCCTCGGCTGTGGAACGCCCTTCCTACGGACATTAGACTAGCACCGTCTCTAATGGTATTCCGCAAAAAGGTGAAGACCTGGATGTTTGTGCAGGCGTTTGAGTAATTTAGTGCAATCTGGTAATGGAACATAGGAATGGAACAATGGACGACGAACCTGGACTACGCTTGGATGATGAGAAGATTGGGTACGGTTGTTTTTTGTAATAATTGTGCATTGTAATTGCTTATTGGTAATTTATGGATAATGTGTTAAGTCAATTGTTATATGTTGTATGGAACCACTGCTGTTTCTACTGTTTTTACTGTTTGTGAACCGCTGTGAGTCGCCTTCGGGCTTGAGATACAGCGGTATAGAAGCAAAGTAAATAAATAAATAAATATAGTTTGACACCATTTTAACTGCCATGGCTCACTGCTACGGAAACCTGGAGTTGTAGTTTGGCAAGGCACCAGCACTCTTGGGCAGAGAAGGCTAAAGACCTTACAAAACTACAGCTCCCATTCTTCCATCGCATTGAGCCTTGGCAGCTGAAGTGGCATCAAACTGCATTAACCTACAGTGCAGATAGAATCATAGAATCATAGAATCAAAGAGTTGGAAGAGACCTCATGGGCCATCCAGTCCAACCCCCTGCCAAGACTTTCCCAATCTTGAACCCGTCTGTTGTTCCATGTTCAGTTCTGACTGTTGTTCCTTGGTCCTTATACAGATTCCTCAGGAGAGAGGCAAGGTGATTTGGTATGCCCATCCCACCAACAACTTGCCACAGTTTATTATTGTCCACACAGTCAAAGGCTTTAGAAGAGTCAATAAAACAGAAATAGATAATTTTCTGAAACTCCTTGCCTTTCTCCATTATCCAGAGGATATTGGCAACTGGGTCTCTCGTTCCTCTGCCTTTTCTAAACCCAGGATTTTTTGTATAACTTGTATAACGTTTTTATGTACTGTATCAATTCCTAAGAGTATAAACGGTATAAATTGTATCAATTCATGCCCTCTATTACGCCTTGGTTAGACCACACCTGGAATATTGTGTCCAATTCTGGGCACCACAATTCAAGAGAGATATTGAACAGGCTGGAATGTGTCCAGAGGAGGGTGACTAAAATGATCAAGGGTCTGGAGAACAAGCCCTATGAAGAGCGGCTTACGGAGCTGGGCATGTTTAGCCTGAAGGAGAGAAGGCTGAGAGGAGATATGATAGACATGTATAAATATGTGAGAGGAAGTCATAGGGAGAAGGGAGCAAACATGTTTTCTGCTTCCCTGGAGACTAGGACGCAATGGAACAATGACTTCAAACTACAGGAAAGGAGATTCCATCTGAACATGAGGAAGAACTTCCTGACTGTGAGAGCCATTCAGCAGTGGAACTCTCTGCCCCGGAGAGTGGTGGAGGCTCCTTCTTTGGAAGCTTTTAAACAGAGGCTGGATGGCCATCTGTCAGAGGTGATTTGAATGCAATATTCCTGCTTTTTGGCAGAAGGGGTTGGACTGGATGGCCCAGGAGGTCTCTTCCAACTCTTTGATTCTATGATTCTACTATCCTTCCCTCCAATGAGCAATCGGGCTTTATTTTCTGAAGTATTGACTGGTTGGATCTTCTGGCAGTCCAAGACATTCTCAGAACTTTCCTCCAACACCACAGCTCAAAAGCCTCTCTCTTCTTTCGCTCAGCCTTCCTTATGGTCCAGCTTCACATCCGTAGGTGACTACGGGGAATATCATGGCTTTGACTACGCGGATCTTCATTGCCAGTGTGATGTCTCTACTCTTTACTATTCTATCAAGATTGGCCATTGCTCTCCTCCCAAGAAGGAAGCGTCTCCTGACTTCCTGGCTGCAGTCTGCGCCTGCAGTCATCTTTTAACCTAGAAATACAAAGTCTGTCGCTGCCTCCACGTTTTCTCCCTGTTGTCAATCATTCTTGTTGCCATAATCTTGTTTTTTAAAATGTTTAGCTGCAACCCGGCTTTTGCGCTTTCTTCTTTCACCTTGGTTAGAAGGAACCTCAGCTCCTCCTCGCTTTCAGCCATCAAAGTGGTGTCATCTGCATATCTAAGGTTGTTAATGTTTCTTCCAGCAATTTTCACCCCATCCTTGCATTCGTCAAGCCCCGCACATCGCATGATGTTTTCTGCATACAAGTTGAATAGGTTGGGGGAGAGGATACAACCCTGCCATTCGCCTTTCCCAATCTTGAACCAGTCTGTTGTTCCATGGTCAGTTAATGGTCAGTTCTATGATTATTATGACTGTTATTATTGTTATTGGTTGCTCTTGTCATTATAATTATTATGCTGATGACAACATCATCTGTGCGCATTCAGAAGAAGAATCATAGAATCATAGACTCATAGAATCAAAGAGTTGGAAGAGACCTCATGGGCCATCCAGTCCAACCCCATTCTGCCAAGAAGCAGGAATATTGCATTCAAATCACCCCTGACAGATGGCCATCCAGCCTCTGTTTAAAAGCTTCCAAAGAAGGAGCCTCCACCACACAAGCCACTCTAAACACCTTTGCAGAAGCATTCGAGAAGCTCGACCTGTCATTGAACATCGAGAAACCCAAAGTGCTTTTCCAGCCGTCACCAGCCAATCCCTCTCCAATGCCAGAAATACAGCTTAATAGTACAACATTAGAAAATGTTGAACCATTTCTGC